ATTCATTTATTTGTTTAATTAACCCTTTAAAATTTAAATAGGCTTAAAGCTGTGTGTGCATGTTGGTTGAGGGGGTTTTTTTTTTTTTTAAATTTTAAATAGGCTTAAAGCTGTGGGTGCATGTGAATTGGTTGAGTTTTTAAAAATTACTTTTTATTTTTAAAATCTAAAAACTAGTTTGATAAAACAAATGAAAAAAAAAAAGAAAAAATTTATTTCAGGTGCATTTTTAAAAATAATTACATATAAATGAAAGTGTATGAGTTTAATAATTAAAATTTATAAAATTACCGTTAATTTTTATTTTTTTATAGATAGAAACTTTACCATTAATTTGAAAGAAATTTTAAAATTTACACTGATTATGTTATTTCTAAAAAAATAAAATAAAATAAAAAATAAAAACAGTCTACTACCTCTACTTTCATTTGCTAGTCTAATTTTTCCCTTTTTTTTATCACTACTCCTTCCATACATTTCTGGCTTTGTGTTATGGAAAAATTGCATTTTAGGTGAAGCTGTGGCAATTCATTTTTATATTATGCAACTATCCTACACGTATTGGTGCAAATTCATTTATGTGCTTGGTTTAAACTTTTTTTGTATCACAGTTATGCCAGAAAATATTCTCATTATAGTGCAATTTTTTGTAACTATCTCATTATTTACGGTTTCTTCTTTTTATTTTTTTATTTTTATTATAAGTGTAAAAGAAAAGATTCAGGCTTTGTAAGATAATTTAACTCCATTTGTTTTTTGAATTTTGGGTGCCTATTGTGCCTCAATGCACAGCTAATAGGTAGAGAAATAATAAAAATGACTCGTGGCTCGAAACTCGTCCGCTGCCCAAGTGGGCCCGATTAGTTAGGTCTAGGCTCGAGCCCAGCCTAGGACCTTGCTTTGGGCTTAGGCCGTCATTTTGAAACCTAAACTAGCCCATGAGTTTGGCTTGTCAAGATCCAATGTCATTTTAGTGAAATAATAAATAAATAAAATTGTAAAAAAATAGAAAAAAAAATTTAAAAGAATGTTTAGGCCTTGAATATCCCCTAGGCCTAGGCCTAATTTTTTGACCGTGGCTTGGCCTGGCTCAAACCCTAATTTTGACGGGAGACTAGCAGCCAGCATGGGCCAAGCTAGTCGGGCCAATTTACAACCCTTCTAACAAGTTATGGAGACTCAATCAAAGTCTATCAAGATTATTTAAGTTGATCATTTGTAGGGTAGACCAAAAGGTCTATTCATAAAAAAAAATTTAAATTGATTTGAATATCAACAATCACAAAATATATCTTAATTAATTTTTTTAATTGGAAAAAAAAAGTGATTTTGTAACCGACCTTCTTTTATTTTTGTAGATAAAAAGTAATCTAATCATGTGTCTATTAATGTCTAATGATTTTTTTTTCACTTACATGAGCTTTGAAAAATTATTCATACCAAAAACAGAGTTAAACCATTCGTCCACATACAAATGGATGGCCCAAATCACTTGTTGCAGTGAATAAACTCGTTTAGATCATCTTAATTTTAAAGGAGTCTAATATAATTTATGAAAACTTATAAATTTATTATATATTTTTAATATAAAGATGTGAATATAATTTATCCAATATTTTATTTATATGTTTTACCCCAAACAAATGTGATCATTCATTATTTTAATTCTCCTCAAATATTAAATTTGATTGAAAAAATAAAATAAAAAATAGAATAGAATAGAATAGAAATAAACAATAGAGAGTTTGTTAATAACATATTTTAAAATAAATGGTTAGTTAAATGAAAAAAAAAAAGACTTTTAGTTAAATTAATTAAAAATTTTGACTATTTTGATGGAGATACTCTTACACAAGCTTTAGAAAACCAAATTAGCTAGCAAGGAAACTACAGAGAAATACTAAAAAAACTACCTTCACTTCTCTCTGTCCCCTGATTTTCCTCTCTTTTTTTTTTAATGGAAATCAATTTCCAACTACAATCTCAGACCAATCAACAAGTTTACATCAAACCAATTACTGTGAATATATAATTACAATCAGAATATAATTATATAGAAATATTCAATTGAACTATAAAAAATCTCAAGAAGGCTACTACTGGGGGTAGCAGCAGAGGAGCTATGATTTTTCAGACAACTGAGATTATAATAAGTTTGGAGCCAAGATATTTGAATTCACATTTCTGCTAAATTTGTTCATAACTCTTTTAAATTGAAACTTTAAACCTGTCCTTTTGATAAAGATCAAAAACACTGAAACAATATGAAGATAAGAAAAGCACAACATCAATGCGAATAAGTAACAGAAAAATCAAATTCCAAACTGTACCGGCGCAACATCAATGGCAAAAGAACAGAAAATCAAATACCAAGCACGTTTGCTATTTGGCACTATAGCCTATGACAAACTTTAACCCCTATATGGACATATGAACAATTACATGAAATGAAATCAACCGAAACATCCCAATTCTTGAAAAATAAACCTGTTTTTTTATCCAAACTTATCAACTGTTCTTGAGTCTTACAAAATCAACTGTGAGAAACCTTGAGAAGTCCATTCCGGATTGAAAGCCACGTCATCACAGCACCAGCCCATGGGTATGAATCGGCAAGGATTTCGAGGCAGCGGCCAATATCTTTCATGGTGTCAAAGTACTGGGTGACGAGGACCATGTCCATAACATCTCTTGCAGTAGTTCCTGGCACGTTGACGGAGAAGCTAGCAACTATCTCTCAAACGTCCACCAATTGTCTTGACGTTGGCGAGCAATACCCAACCCGACAGGTACTTTGACTCTGCCTACCTTCAGCTCGCTTAATCTGTAGAATTTTCTCAGCTCTGCCTTCTATTAGCTGCACCTCAGCCTTGCAGCTGGAGAAATAGAAGTCAATGGGACATTAAATGGTCAATTAACTCCAGTTGTTCAGAAATATCCATTGTTATTGACACGTTTAATTGACTCAATAAGGGTCATTTGATAACAGTGGGTTGTTCCTAATTTCTGTCTACAAACACGGAAACGAGCTTCTTTTGTTTTTTTTGTTTGGTGTACATAAAAAAATTGAAAACAAAGCATATATATTATTATATAAAAAATCCATGTTTTGTGAGTTGCCTTTAAGATGGCTGGCCAATGAGGGTTGGACGTGTGTGTCGTCGGCAGTGAGGATGTCTGGAGGTGGCCACGGGAGTTGGTGGGCAGAGTGTCACCAAAGGCACATTGCAGTGATCATTCTGATTGTTAGAGCCACACAGAAATGGGCGGAGCTTGCACGAGGGTCACCAGTGGTTAAGAGAGAGTGATTTTGGAAAGTAGGTAACCAAACAAAATTTTGAGATTTTTTTTGAAAAAAATTGTTTGGTTTGATTACTCTTGAAAATTTGTTTGTAGAGAATTTGTCCCAAAAAATTTTCTGAAAAACAAACCAAACAAAGTTTCATGTAATTCCCAAACATCAGCCAAACCCCATTCTGGTTTCAATATTTGGCAGCTAGAAGAGGGATACTGTATAATACATTACCCAAATCCACTTGTTGCAGTGAATAAACTCGTTTAGATCATCAAAATTTTAAAGGAGTCTAATATAATTATGAAAACTTATAAATTTTATTATATATTTTTAAATTATAAAAGATGTGAATATAATTTATCCAATATTTTATTTATATGTTATTACCCTAAACAAATGTGATCATTCATTATTTTAATTCTCTCTTAAATATTAAATTTAGAATTAGAAAAAATTAAAATAAAAATAGGATAGAATAGAATAAACAAATAGAGCGTTTGTTAAATAACATATTTTTTAAAAAATGGTTAGTTAAAATTAAAAAAATAGACTTTTAGTTAAAATTTAATTAAAAATTTGACTATTTTGATGGAGATACTCTTATAGAAAACCAAATTAGCTAGCAAGGAAACTACAGAGAAATACTAAAAAAACTACCTTCACTCTCTCTGTTACCCTGATTTTCCTCTTTTTTTTTTTTTTAAATGGAAATCAATTTCCAACTACAGATTCAAACCAAATCAACAAGTTTACATCAACCAATTACTGTGAATATATACAAGCAGAAATATAATATATAGAAATGATTCAATTGAACTAGAAATAATCTCAAGAAGAAGGCTACTGCTGGGAGGTAGCAGCAGAGCAGCTAGGCTTTTCAGACAACAGATTATAACTAAGTTGGAGCCAAGATATTTGAATTCACATTTCTGCTAAATTTGTTCACAACTCTTTTAAAATTGAACTTTAAACCTGTCCTCTTTGATAAAGATCAAACATTGAAACAATATGAAGATAAGAAAAGCGCAACATCAATGGCGAAGTAACAGAAAATCAAATACCAAACCATGTTCACGCACAACATCAATGGCAAAAGAACAGAAAATCAAATACCAAGCCACGTTTGCTATTTAGCACTATACCCTATGACAAACTTTAACCCCTTTATATGCATAGTAATATATATGGACATATGACAATTACCATGAAATGAAATCAAACCGAAACAATCCCAATTCTTGAAAAATAAACCTGTTTTTTTATCCAAACTTTATCAACTGTTCTTGAGTCTTACAAGAAAATCAACTGTGAGAACCTTGAAGAAGTCCATTCCGGATCTGAGAAGCCACGTCATGCACAGCACCAGGCCCATGGGGTATGAATACGGCAGAGGATTTCGAGGCAGCGCCAATATCTTTCATGGTGTCAAAGTACTGGGTGACGAGGACCATGTCCATAACATCCTTGGCAGTAGTTCCTGGCACGTTGACGGAGAAGCCTAGCACACTATCTCTCAAACCGTCCACAATTGCTTGACGTTGGCGAGCAATACCCAACCCTGACAGGTACTTTGACTCTGCCTCACCTTCAGCTCGCTTAATCTGTAGAATTTTCTCAGCCTCCGCCTTCTCATTAGCTGCCACCCTCAGCCTTGCAGCTGGACAAATAGAAGTCATGGGACATTGAAAATGGTCAATTAAACTCCAGTTGTTCAGAAATACCATTGTTTTGGACACGTATAATTGACTCAATAAGGGGTCATTTGATAACAGTGTTGGTTTCCTAATTTCTGTCTACAAAAAACAGGAAATGAGCTTCTTTTGTTTTTTTTGTTTGGTGTACATAAAAAAATTGAAAACAAACATATATATATATATAAAACATGTTTTGGTGAGTTGCCTAAGGTGACGGCCAACAATGGAGGGCGGACCGATGTGGTCGGCAGTGAGGATGGCTGGAGGTGGCCACTGGAGTTGGCGGGCAGAGTGTCACCAAAGGACACATGCAGTGATGATCTGATCGTTAGAGCCCACCAGAAAGTGGGCGGAGCTTGCACGAGGGTCACCGGTGGTGATTAGTGGTCGTAGGTGGCTAGTGGTGGCATTGGGTGATGGCCAAAGGGGGGTGGGGAGGGAGGAGAGAGCGAAATTTGTTTTGAAAACAAGTGAAAACAAATTTTTACCATTTTCAACAATTTTGAAAATTTCATAATCAATTTCATTCTTTTTTAAAACAAATACAGTATACCAAACAAGTTTTTGCATCCAGTTTTCACAAAAAATAAAAACCAAAACAGAAAACATTACCAAACGAAGCCTTAGGATACTAGAGATTTCAACAAAATAATCTCAATCTATCAGTATGAGATATGGATTTAATGTCTAGAACCATAACATATTCCATAATTTAAAAAATGACATGCCACGAAGGAGCACATATCCACGGTGTGTCGGACACATACACAACACCCATTTTGGAATGTCCAAGCTTTTTAGGTTTCAATATTTGGCAGCTAGAAGAGGGATACTGTATAATACATTACCGGCATTGATTTCATTCATCGCCCGTTTTACATGCTCATCTGGTTCTATATCAACAATCAGTGTCTGTACAATCTCATACCCGTAAGCAGACATTGCCTATCAACGATGATAAAGTCAACAGCATTACAACCAAGTTGGGACATAGACTTCACGAAATACGTTTACCACCTATCTATTCAATTCAAATACATTACCTTCTCAAGTTCATCTTCAACTGCTTTGGCAATGTCATTCTTTTGCTCAAAAGCATCATCCAAATTGAGCTTTGGAACACTCGCTCTAATCACTAAATAGTTGGAGAAGGTAAAGTGAGTACAGTTTATAATATTTACAAGTGTTTGGACTACTAAAATCAAGATTCATCCATTTTCTAAACTAAATAATGCTTATCTCAACAGTTTCAAGCATTTAGATTTGTACCATCAAAAACATAGGCCTGGATTTGGGTTCTTGTGTTGGTGAGTTTGTAGAAAGCGTCATTTGCCTTCTCTGCAATGGCACGGTACTGCACAGATGCTACAACATTGACAAATACATTGTCCTGTAAAAGAAAGGACCATAAAGACTGATCATTTTAGTTGCACAAGTACATTGGCACGTTCAATATCTCAATTGACCACTGAAAAACATCATATGCTAACAAAACCATCCATTCATAAATATTTGATCAGAAGGTATTCAATGCTTCAAATAGGCAAGGAAAATAACCAAAAACAAAAAAAAAAGAAAAAAACTGACAAGATTATGGTTACAAACATGCTATAGAAGAATGATATGTACCAACTTTAATAGTTGTTAGTTTTAACCTTAGTTGCACGAAAGGGAGGCAAGGGAATGGGGGCATATATATAGAATTTATAAGATTGTAAGTGCCTATGGGAGCGTGCATATATATTTTATCTACTAAATATATCAAGAAATTCTAACAATTATTTTTTCTTGTGTACTTGTAACATGTGTTAAAATATGAATAAATATTAGAGATTATTGTCAACTACAAATTATCTTGGTTGAGTATCAATAAATATTATATAAATAGAAAATACTAGAATAAATTAAAGTTGTTTTTTCTTTTGTTTCTTTGAGATTTATATGTTTGAGAGGGTTCTATCTTAGTTGGGAGCGAGTTTCTTTCTCGATAAGAGCAAGTTTCTTACAAGTTTTTATTTTATTTTTTATTTTATTTGGAGAGCAGAATCGCATTTCGAAGTAAGAAACATCACCAAAGTGGGAGTTTCCTGCAACTAAGATTTTAACATTTTTCAGGCCACAAACACAAATAATGTTACAAATTAAATAAACCTTCATTTTAGAAAAGAGGTAGAATGATGTTCACAGTTGGGGAACGAGGCAGACCTTTGTTTTCGTCTCACAACGAACATCCAACTGCTGCAGCCGGAGGGAGAGATGTCCGGCCAGCTGATTTCCAAGGATCCAGGGCAGGCAATGGCATCCTGGCTCTAGTACTTCCTGAAACCTACCAAACCTCTCCTTGATAGCAACTGTGGATTGACCGACTTGTACACAACAGAATAGATTGCCCATGTTCTCTGGAGAAAGCATTGAAACAAGATATTGTTAGAACATGTCCAGAAATTCGAGTCATAAAAACTCATGATGCTGACAAACAATCTATTTGGAAAATATTTTAAATGCCCATCAGCTATACAATTATTGAAAAATATACATTTTATGGAAAAATATTTGAAATCCAAAGTGCTGAAGTTATAATAACACGATCCAAACCAAAAAAAAAGAAACCCATGGAGAACAAAATTTTATTCTCCAATAGTTTCTACATACACATGAACAGATAAACCCTAATCAAGTCTCAAACGATGAGGCCTATAACAGCTGAGAAAGCTAAAAGGTGTGTTTGGTTTGTGTTTGTATAGTAGTTTTTGAGATAAAAAGTACGAAAACTTGTTTGGTTTGCCTTTTTTCAGAAATGATTTTGGAAAATTGTTTTGGCGAGAGAGTTTTAAAAAAAGTGATTGATTTGACGTGTATGAGAGATAGAGTGATTTTGGAAAGTAGGTAACCAAACAAAATTTTGAGATTTTTTTTGAAAAAAATTGTTTGGTTTGATTACTCTTGAAAATTTGTTTGTAGAGAATTTGTCCCAAAAAATTTTCTGAAAAACAAACCAAACAAAGTTTCATGTAATTCCCAAACATCAGCCAAACCCCATTCTGTAAATATGATAATTATATGTGACAAAGACAATTCAAAAGCCTCAGATCTAATTTATACAAAACCTGTAGTACCCTAAACAGCAAAGAATTACCCTTCATACATAAGACATTAAAATCAAAAAATAAATAAAAACAATACAATGTAGAACAAATATGGTACTCAGTTCCAAAACCTCTAATCTAAAATATTTTAGAAGTTTCAAAATTTTTCGTCGAGACTTACTACCAGTACAACAAATGGCTGAAAAAGAAGTAGAACAGAGATCAAGAAAGAGTCAACGACAAATTATCATCAATAACAATAACAAGGCAAATTTGAATCTCCAAGAACAACAAAGATTTTTCAACCCACGACTCAGTTTTACTGGTATTTTGTAAGAACACAATAATCTATAAATTAAAAAAAAAAAAGAAGAAAAAAGAAAAGAAAACCCCACAAACCCTTAATATCAAAATCACCATAAAAACAAGATCACATGACATATATATAGATATGTATGTGTGTAGAGGGTTAGAGTTACAGTACAAGGAATAAGGGTGGTAAAAAGGGCAGCAACTATGGAAGTACAATGAGAGTGAAAAGACAAAAAGATGAAATAATAGTGCTCCCAACCAAGTGGGTTTTGTGAATTAAGAACAAATTAGTGATTGATTTGTTATAAAACAAAGAAGAAACCTGAAAATTCAGACCAAGAACAAACCCAATTCAACACAATTTAGGGGAGAGAGAGAGAGAGATTACCAAATTCACTCTCAATTCAGGAAAAAGGAAAACAAAGAGGAGTAGAATGGCAATGGAGGCTCAAAGAAGGCGGAGCTTATGTAGGAAATGAAAACAACTCGGTGCTTAGGAAACATCCCCACAATTGCTACAATATTTTGGTAATAATTTCGATAAAATTAAGATACAATTTACCAAAATGCAAAGTCAAACATACGTTTCAAGCATTGGATAATTTTGAGAAAAATTTTGAAAATGATAAATTATTTTTACGGATATAAAAAAATAAAAAAGATAAATTATAAATATACTTTAAGATTACTTAAAATATAAATTATTTACTGTAATTCTGGAAATTATTTCTTATCTCTTCATGTTTCTAATTACATAACAAATGTCTATTTTATTAATAAATTATCAAGTTAATTAATAGTTTTTAATGATGTTAAAAATTTATTTTAATTAATAATTCAGGTAATTTATTATTGTATAGAAGAGTAATTAGGAATTTTATTTTTTTAATTAATTATATTAAATAAAAAATTATGACAATATGATATTTGTAATTTTATGTTGGAACACAGATTGTAAAAATAGCAGGTTGTAAATTTTTTTTATGCTGAAATAAAGATTGTAATAAATATAATATATGTGTAATGTGTACAAGGGTGTCTAAGTAGCACAGTGGTTAAGGTATATTTTGCACCCCAGAATTGCCTGAGTTCAAGCCGTGTGAACAACCAAACAAATTATTTATTTATTTATTTATTTATTTATTTAGAGCCGAAACGACTCCGTTTCAACTCACAACAGCTACTGCTGTGAGTTGGGCGCAGCAGCACCCGGGATCCGATATTTCTTGCGTGGGACTAATGGCTGGTTTAAAGAAAGGGTAGTATGATGGAGGAGACAGAGATGTGAAGAAAAGTCAAAGAAAAAGTAATAATTGATCAGAGCGATTGACTTGATTTTGATGGGGGAGCAAATGTCAGGTACAAAGGGTGGTTGTGGTCCGCATTAATTTGATTTTTGGATAGAATTAAAGGCACGTTTGACAAGTATTTTTTTAGGGTAAATTACAACGTTGAGATTTTGTGAAAATATATTTTCTCTTATGAGGTTTGAGAAATTATAAATTATTTTCTGAAGGTCAAATTTTCATAATAAATTAGAAGAAATTATGGGGGAATCTGTATAAAAATAAAAATCTCAAGGGACAATTTGTTATGGAAATATAAATCTCAGGAGGTGGAATGTAATTTCTTAAATCTCAGGAAAAAATTTATATTTTTACCAAATCTCGAGGGGTGTTTGTAATTTGCCCTTTTTTAATTAAAAAATTAAAAAAATATTAAAAAAATTAAAAAATTAACAATTTATATCAAAGAGTTAAAAATTCTTTTTTCTCTTTATTTTTTATATATCTTTTCATAAAAAATCAAAAATCAAAAATTTTTTGAACATCATATTTTAGTCAAAAAGTTACTAAAAAAATCTGTTTCCAAACGAGGCCTAAGACTACTTCGTTATTTAGGTGCTGTTTGGTAACACTTTTTATAGTTTCATAAAAACTGAAATCAAACCAATCTATTTAAATTATGGAATTAATTCAAACAAAATTATTAAAACACAATTCGACTCAGTTTAAAATTACGATTTCACATAATTTGTTTACAAGAAAAATTGTATAATATTTTTAAAAAAAATTCAACATATTATGAATTGTTTAACACCAATCTACTCATTATTTTTCGAAATATAACTTAAACAAACATAATATCTTATAAATAAATATATTGTTCAATATGTAGCAAGTAAAAAACTCTAACCAAATAAAAATTTTGTCGTGGTAACAACAACTACGAAACTAAAATTCCGCTAAATAACCTTTTTTTAAAAAAAAAACCAATAAGAACAATGGCAAAACCAGTAGCAACTAGGGGTGAGCAGCGGATATACCGATCCGCCAAAACCGACCGAACCTAACCGATCTGCTGCATTTTGGACGGATGCGTGATAATGGGTGGATGGTTGCGGATTGATTTTGTCTAATCCGCCAATCTGGCAGACGGATGGCGGATTTGAGATTCTTTTGGCCGCAACCGAACCACCAAACCGCGAACACCCATAGTAATACTTTATGTGGAAGAGGCATGCTGTGATTGTAGTATGTGGATGAAGCATGCAGTGATTTTTAAATAGATTAATTAACTTTCCTTTCAAATTTAAATTTTTAAATGAATTAATTAACTTTCCTTTTAAAATGTGTAAATTAAGGCATAAAAGCTATTTAAATTTTTAAATAGATTAATTAACTTTCCTTTCAAATTTAAATTTTTAAATGAATTAATTAACTTTCCTTTTGAAATATGTAAATCAAGGCATAAAAGCTATTTAAATTTTTAAATAGATTAATTAACTTTCCTTTTAAATGGATTAATTACTTTTTTTTTAAATGATTCAATAAAAGTTAACCAATAGAATTTTTTTTAATTACTTAAAAAATAAGAATTCTAGAAAAATAGTATGAGGGTTTTGAACTTCACCAGTGCCTTTTCATTAAAAGCTCTATTTTACTAATATAATTCTAGTGTTTCACCCGTGCATAGTTATATTTATAATTATTTGTATATATATTTTGATAATAATGAGGGAATTTTGACCAAATCTCTCAAAAGGTATGTGGATTGGCAAAAGTTAATAAATGCTGATGAGAGAATTTTGACCAAATCTTTCAAAAGGCATGTGGATTGAAAAGAGTTAATAAATACTGGGGGCTTTTTTAAAAAAAAAAATCAAAAATTTAGAAAATTAATATTGGGATATTGGAACTCTCACAAAGCTTGTGGGTTAGAAACTCCCTTTTTCCTTATATAATGTACTAGCATATCAGCCGTGCTATGCACGGATTGTGTTTACAATTATCTATATATGTGCATTGTGATTTTTAAATGTTTTCTTTTTCTTTTTTTTTAAATGTCTTCTTTTTTCCTTTATTATATTATATTAAAGTTTAATATTTTGATAATAATCATATGTGTTAGACTTTTCAAGAAATTTTTTTTTATGTTTGTTCTTAATGTATTCAAGTGTTATTATGAGGGATAATAATCATATGTGTTGGGATATTTCAAAGAATTCATATGTGTTGGATTTCAAAGAATTTTTTTTATGCTTGTTTTTAATGCATTAAAGTGTTATTATGATGGTAAGACTTTGGAGTTGAGAAAAGTTAATAAATGTTAAGATTTTTTTTTTAAAATCAAAAAATTAAAAAATTTAGATTGAGAGATTGGAACCCCTATAAAATTTGGGATTAAATTTTTTTTTTATTTAATATATAATATAGACGTATAGATATAGATTATAAAAGAAAGTAGTTAGAATTCTTCCTCGAAAGGGGAAAAGAGCTACATACATTCACCTAACCTGCTGACATCCCAACGAAGAGAGGCATTATTTGGGTCGCATCTTCGAATTTGAGAGAAGGCTTTCATCTTTATCTCTCAAATTATAGGCGAAATAAAACTAGAAAAATGCGGCAGACCCCAACAAAACCCACCCCCAAGTGACCCCAGTGCCACGTAGCACTGGGTGATTGGAAGGAAAGAAAAAAAAAAAAAAAAAAAAAAGAAACTGGCCAATGAAAATGAGCTGGGGTCCCTAGCAGCTCTGATAAAACTATTTCATTTTTTTTTTTTGTGTGTCAATTTTGTTAAATAAAAAATTCTAATAAATGAGTATTTGTAATTTTCAGAATTACATAGAACAATTGGTATTTTAAGCAACCCTTAATAAATGTATTTGTAATTTATCCAATAAAAAAAAAGATAAATTATATTAATCTTTTTTGAGATTTGAAAATATATATAATAAGACCTATAAATTTGACATAATTACATCGACTTTCTAATATGGCTAAACAAATCAACTAATGGAAATGGCGCCAAGATTAAATGATAAATAAAAATAAAATATATATTTGAGTATAAAAGAGATAACAACATCATTTTTTTTTTATCTATATAAACTAGCAAATTATTGAGGAAAAGAAGAATAATTGTTACGAGAATTAAAATATTAAGAAAGTCTAATGTAATTATATTAAAACTATAAGACTTATTATATGCTCTCTAAGAGAGGGTAGTGTAATTTATCCAAAAAAAAAGTTTCTCTCAGTCTATATCACTGTTTGAATAAGTAAAAATGAAATGGGAATATAGTGAGAGAAACAAATTTTTATTATTATAACTCTCATTTTAAATCCCTTCTAAAAGTGGAGAGATTTTGTGAGAAAATATACCAATTAGAGAGGGATTGTTGGGCTTAGTAAGCTCATTTCGAGGCTCACTTTTATAATCTGCATCGTTTATTTGTAAGGTTTATTGAGAAAATAATTCATATAAAAAAAAATTAAGTTGATCAGACATTGATAATTATATATTCAAAATACATTTGTTATATAATTTGATCAAGAAATGTGATTTTGTGAATAGATTTTATACAGTATATTTTTGGACAAATTACGCTGATAGTCTCTGTATTTTGATATTTGTGTCATTTTGATATCTATAAGTTTAATTGACTTGATTTTGATCTTAAATTTATGACTTTGTCTCAATTTAATATAATTGTTTACAATTGTTAGTATTTTTTAATGAAAAATATG